CCCCAAAACCCCAAAACCCCAAAACCCCAAAACCCCTCTTAGCCAAGATTTTCTTGAAATGACACGATTTATTTTTACTTCTAGTCTAGCCTGATTAGCCCAATCTGGCTCAGCATTTGTAGGTCTTCGGTTGGACTCCTGGATGGCTTGAAGGTGGACAGGGAAATTATATTCCCGGTGTGCATTTGGTCATAGTCCATATGACTAGATTGAAAGGCAGGCTTTTTGGTTGGTTTGTCAGGCTTGGAAGGATTTTGACCCTCTTTGTAGATTAAGTAGTTGTTGTAGCATGCTACTTGTTCGAAAGAGACACTTTGGTCTTCAATGTTATGAGATTGGTTTTGAATGTTTCTCTGGATATCTTGAACTTCAGAATGAACTTTTCTATGATTTATTCTTTGAACTTTTGCTTTATAGTATCTATTATGTTATTCTTATCACATACTGGTAAATAACTCTAATGCCTGCTGCTATTATTCAAATTCCACAAGCTCCACCAAGAATAATTCCAACAATTGCCCAAGTGGATATCCTTGCATCTTTTGGTCTATAAAATTAAAAACATTTTACTTTTCTATTCCTGAAACTCTTGCTCTTATTTTACCAACATTTTCAAAAATAGGAATAAATAATAACTCAATTCCAATATCTCCCTCTTTCATTACTTCCAAATCACCCATTTGGTAAGCCACCTTTCCCAAACTATCAAATCTCCTAATCATCATATAATCTTCCTCTGATCTCCTCACATAAAACTCCAAGACCCCCTCTCCTGCAATACCAACTAAACCTCACCAAATTCCTTACAAATCTCCACTCCAACTCCTCCATACACCTCCTCACTAACCATCACCTTAACCCATCACCCATGCACTGTATCTGCTCTATCAAATCCAATATCTACTAAACCATTATTTTCTTCTACTAAATTACTATGTTCACTCTGTTCATTATCCAGTTTATATATCTGTGTTCCTCAGAGATATGCATTCTGTTCTGATAAGTCGTTTGCTGTAATTGGGAGGGATTTTAGTAAGAAGGTTTATTGAAGTTAAGTTAGAGTGGGTGATGAAATTTGTCGTTGTTAATGTTAAAAATACAAAAAATTAACATTTTTATGGTTATTAGTAAGGTAAGAATATACTTACATTTGAGGATGTCTTCTCCTTTGACTGGTATTAGAAAAAGGATTAATAAGATCAAAATCTGTGATATTTTTAGATATTTCGACAATAATATATCAAAATTCTTCCATAAACCTTCCTGATATCTTCATTGATTATTTTACTTCTCTAGCATCTTTATTATCAACCCCTAAATTACAAAATCATATCAGAATAAAATTTTACTTCAAAACCCCCCAAAATACCTCAAAATCTCTATTCCAACCCTCCCAGCCCAATCCAGCCCCAAAACCCCATTCCCTCTAAATCCTCACTCAAATAATCACCAAACACAGCTTCCACCAAAACCTCCATCCTACTAACACCCTAAAACCCTTTAACCCCAATCCTCAAATTCCAGTCAGCCCTCCTCACTTCTACGTAAAACTCCTTTCTCTTTCTTCTGAATTCCTACCTGTTCTTCCTTCTCAAGATTCTGTATGCTGGTCGGTCCGTTCCATATCAATACTCATTTTTATTATTTCAAAAAATCCTCTAACTCACGGGGTTTTGGGGTTTTGGGGTTTTGGGGTTTTGGGG